AAATGATTGATCCAATGCTTAAAACATCTTAGGAGAATTTGGTAAAATCAACAAGTCAAATTACCAAATCTTCAATTCAAATCAAGTAAAGTTGAATAAATTACAAATTTACCCTAAAGGTTGATTTGGACATTTTGAAAACTTATGACTTGTTAAATTTTGATTGCAAAATATTAAGTTGCGGACAATTAAATTTCAGCAAAAATTAATTTTTATAGATGTAAGAGTAGGTATATTTGAAATTTGTATAGATGTAAGATTAGGTATATTTAATTGAAAAAAAAAAAAACCCATTAAGAAATTGAAGCTCACAAGGTAATTTACTTTGATATGGGTAGAGGCAACTACATATAACATTAATATGCCAAAATTTGTTTGATGAAAGTGGTCATTAGAAGCTATGTTTGAGCAAATTCTTGGTAAAACATAACTACAATAACTAAGAAAATGTCTTTAACACCACAACCATAGCAAGCTGATGAAGAGAAAAAATTAGAGAAGGGAAAGCAAACGATATATATATATATATATGAAAGCTTATATGAAGTGTCCAAATGGCCTTTAGACATTTTGGACACATAATATGTGGAAAGAATTTTAAATTTTATGAGGTGTTATATCAACTAAACTTAACAAATCGCTACATCAAATCATGAGATCTAACAAAATTTACAAGATAATATTTCATCATACTAAATGAGAGTCAAAAGTAAAGTTAAGTGAGTGATGCTTCAACAAATAAGATGACTCACCAAGCAAAAGCTATATTGAAGTTAGATCCACCCCAAGCAATTTCACATTCAATAAGTTGCAGAAGAATTGTTTCTTCACCAAAAAACTTGGACCACTACATATGCAAGGAACATCACATGAAATTTTTGCATTAGAAATAATATATTGTATTTCTAGAATGCTAACTTTAAGGGTGACTTCCAGCTATCCCTTTTATAACATTTTTCCTCACATTAAGCAGGACCTATAAGAAAGTATAATCAAAGACAATTTCATGAGGCATAAAGCCAAATTTGACTAATTCATAAAGACTGAAGTCATCTCCTAGAAGAGAGAGACCAAACGAGACAATTTCATTCAGCCATGCAAAGGGATGACTTTGACTTTCAATTATTAAATTTATTTGATAAACATGCCATCACAGCAAGTTGGACCCTTCTTGCCACCAACCATTTTTTTCTCAACAAATAGCTTTAAGTGATAGCCTGCTTACTCAAATCATTAAAACAAAGAATAGTCATTCCTTCTTTTTTATTTCACTTAGTGAATGGGTGGTATGGTTCTACTAAATTATTTCAAGATGAATTCGATGAAATAAAGTAGAGAAAGAGAGCAATCCAATAAAAATATTGAGTAAGGCATCCAAAGGGGACGCTTGTTTGTAGGTGATAGCATGAAAAAGTCATAATTTTAGCTATTTGTGATATCATCAAAGAGATTAACAAAAAAAAAAGAAACTAAATGTACATGCAAATGTTAACAAGGTTGGGTTCAAATTATTTCAATGTAAGTCGATGAAAATCAAAGTCATTAAACCACCCCCTGACGCAGGGGCTCAGCATGAGGACCAACCGTTCTCAAGGAAGGAGTCTGCTGCCCCCTCCTTTCTCTTCCCTACTTTCTTTTTTCCTCTAATTTTTCCTTCCTTTTCTTCTTTTCTTATTTTACTTCCTAGCACTTTCCTATTTTAAAACATTTTCTAAAACTGAAATCTAATTTTTATTCTCTTTTTCCTAATTTTAATCCTTTCATAAAAGCCTAAAATCGTAATTTTATTCTCTTATCTTATTTAAAACCCTTCACAAAGTCTTAAGATCTTGATTTTATTTTTATTCTCCTTTCTTAATTTAAACATTTTCTAAATTGGATCAAGTCTTTTATAAATAGAAGTTGTTGTGTCTAGGGTTAGGTGCCTTGATTTTGAAATATGAATTCAGTTTTATCTAAGTGTTTTCCCTCTCGAGGGTTGTATCCGACGACGATGAAGGTGATCTGGCTGTAACCCCGTCCGAGGTGGTGATTATCTTCGCCATTCCGATCACTCCAAGATGTATCACAGTCTGCCGACATTCCAGCCACGCTCCAACACCGCCGACCACCTCCCTGCTAGCCAACAGCCAGTTGATTTCCTTGCTACTCCTCCCAAATTGCCGCCAAGCTCCACTGTAGCTTCCCTACAGGATTGTCGCAATCATGCTACCTTCCCAAACCATCATTGATCCCCCTGCAGCTTCACTGCAGATAGTTCGTAGTCCACCTGTTATCCTTCCTGGCGCCACTACTGCAGCCACCTGCAGAAGTTCATTGTCCACTTGCTGCCCTTCCAGACGCCTCCACTGTAAGCACCTTCATTTGCAACTCTCTGCTTCCCTTCCAACACCTTCTCCCGACATCGCTTCGGCTTTCACCGCAGCAGTCACTCCAACACTTTCTCTTTGAACTCCATCCTCGTCTAGCTTGTTGTGCCTTTATTTGGTAAGTCTTGTTTGGAATGTTTTGTTTTATGTTTTGATTTATGTGGTATTTTTTTTTCTTTAGAGTCATTGTTGTAACCATCATTTTAAGTTATTAATTTGTGTCTTGTATCGTTGTTTGAGTTAATTCTAGTATGCAGTCTTATCATTGACAGGGGTAGCAACAAGAATGTGACATCGACTTAGATGGTAGAGAAATTGAGACTCACGGCTTAGAGTAATTCTCGGCCATATTCACTGACGTGACTGAAGAAGAAAGATGGGGCCAACATCGACCAACAATGCCTAGTAGATTTTTCAATAGGGAGTCATTTGCGGGACCAGTTATGGCTTAATGTGGTCCCCATGGATGCCTGTCACCTTTTGCTAGGAAGTCTGTGGCAATTTAACCAGAAGACTAAGCACAATGGATTCAAAAGCACGTATTCCTTCACCATGGATGACAAACGCCTCATTCTACTCCCTTCGATAGCACCCGAGGAGACAGGAGTCCTTACAAGCAGAGTCGCGGGACCGGTTTTAGTGACATTCGATTCTCTACCACCATGGCCACCACCACACAAAAAATTTCAGTCCCAAGAGATCTGACTGAGATGGAGGTGCGTTCGCAAGTGCTTTGTGAAACAGTACAGTTAACAGTGAGATCCAGATGATGTCATGATTAAAGACAAGGGACTAGAAGCTTCGAAAGATGAGGTCAAAGCTCCCCCACAACCCCGGGAGGCTAACGCAGGGCTCGACATGAAGACTGACCAGTCTTCAAGGGAGGGGGCTGCCACCCCTCCTTCCTCTTCCCTCCTTTCCTTTTTCCTTCCTTTCCTTTTTTTCCTTCCTTCTCTTAATTTCTCATTTTCCTTCCTAGCACTTTCCAATTTCAAAACCTTTCCTAAAACTAAAATCAAATTTTTATTCTCCCTCTTCTAATTAAATCATTTCCTAAAAGCCTAAATCATAACTTTCATCTCTTCTCTTAATTTAAAGCCTTCCCAAAATATGATATCTTGAGTTTATGTTTATCCTTCTTTCTTAGTTTAAATATTTTCTAAATTGGGTCAAGTCTTTTATAAATAGGAGTTGGTGTGTCTAGGGTTAGGGGTCTTGATTTTGAAATCTGAATTCAATTTTATCCGAGTGTCTTCTATGTTGAGGGTTGTATCAGATGACGATGAATGTGCTCTGGCTGTAACCCCGTCCTAAGTGGTGATTATCTTCATCGTTCCGACTACTCCACGCTGTCCCACTATTCCAGCCACCCTCCAGCACCTCCCACCTCCCTGCCAGCCAACTGCCGGTCGATTCCTCTGTTGCTCCTCCCACATTCTTGTCAAGCTCCACTGCAGCTTCCCTGCAGGATAGTCGCAGTCCTGCTCCCCTCCCAGACCATCGCTGATCCTTTTGCAGCTTCACTGCAGACAGTTGTAGCCACATGCAGTGCACAATCCATTTGCTGCCCTTCCAGACGCCTTCACTACAGCCACCTTCATTCGCAGCTCCTGCTGCCCTTCCAGCACCTTCGCCCAAAATCACTTTGGCCTTCACTGCAATCGTCGCTCCAACATTATCTCTTAGAACTCTCTCCTCATCGAGCTTGTTGTGTTTTATTTGACAGTCTTTATTTATGATGTTTTGTTTTATATTTTGACCTATGTTGTGTCTTTCTTTTTCTTTTGAGTCATCGGTGTAATAGTTCTTTTAAGTTACTAATTCATGTCTTGAGTTATAGTTTGGGTTAACTCCAATATCACCCTCTTACTATACCATGTTCAAGATTAATCATCCATGACATCAAAATTAAATAAGATAGTTGCTAAGAACTCGTCTATGAGATATACTCAACCAAAGATCTTCGATGAAGCATCACAACTACAAACCCAAGTCACGTAATATACTCAACCGCAGTGGCAATCAAACCTAGTCGGCCAAACCCAGTGAGCACACCTAACTTGCCCACACAGCTAATCCCAATAATCTTTGATTTCACATGAATTTGCTGCACATTTTAAAATCATTATTTCCTATTTAATGTAATCAATTAGTTACTGGTAGTAATATTCAAATTTTTTCCTTGGATGCAATATTTTTAGACTTGTCTCGGGCCTCACCTATAAAACCATTTTCCAAAGGCAAGCCTATAGACGTTATCCAACTATTTTTCTCAATACCTAAACTACCTGATAAAATAGAGAGATCTTAGATCTTTGTCTCTCTGTTTCGCTCTCTATCGGTACAAATTAGGTGAATGAATCACTTAATTCTAATAAGATGAACCATATAAAAACAGCTGAAATATGGAAAGTAAAAGTTTCTTACACTGAAATGAATGCTGTAGTAAAAATTTGCCCAAATGCAGAACAAAGATATGCACTCACCCAGAAGAAAACCATACAGAATAGTTGACACAGATTAAAAAGAAAATCAATTAGAGATAAAGCAAGTTTCTGGAAATGATGATCCAACTTGCCTAAGCAAATCAAAATAAGTAGACATCATCATTTTTTTTAAATACCATACTGAAAGTTCTTAGGATCATATTAAAAACCATTTTCATTAAAACTGCATGCGTGTGTTTTCTCTCTATATATTGCTACCTTAAAACGCTAAAATAAAGGGGCAGAGAAAATACAGGAATTTACAAACGACATCAAGCATGAAAAACAACAATTTACGTACAAAATCCATTCTAGGATTCTGCTGTTGCCCCACCCTTCTCAAATTTTCCATCAGAGGATATATGACAGCCCTCAACTTTGCGAGCAACATCATTAACTAGCACGTTACTCTTACCAGAAACTTCAACAGCAGGCGAGGATTCATTATCATCAAAGGTGACAGGACCAGTCTGCCATATTCTAACGGTGCCATCCTCAGAACCTGATGCATAAGATTCACCACCGGGAGAGAAACGCACGCAATGGACAGGGCCATGATGGCCTTTGTTGCAACCTGCATCATCAAAAATAATAAATTTTGTATATAGAATACACTACTCATCATAACATAACAATAACATTACAACCTGGCAATCGAAATGCTCACCGATTTCTTCACCAGTGTGAAAATCAAAGATACGAACCCACATATCCTCTCCTCCAGCAACAAAAATGTTTCCAAACTTGGGTTCAAGGGAAGCGGATTCAACAGTGCATGGCATATTGTAGCTTTTCACGAGGCCAAAACTGAGCAGTAACATTAACATGGCTTTTTTTAGCATAGAAACAGGGTTTATAAGGAACAATTCGAAAGCAAGGGTAGCAAGAATGTACAAAGCTTACTGATTTGCATCCCAAAATTTGACAGTTGAACCGTCAGCGGTTGTAATGTAGCGACCATCTTGACTAACTTCGGCACTGGTAACAGGAGATTTTGTTTCCAGAATTTGGATGGTTTCTCCACTGCGTACATCCCACAATCTGCAGACAATATTTACAGAAGCAAAGTGAAAGAAGTCAAAAGCATGAATTTCACTGCAATAACAAATTAACTACTGTTTTGTGCATAATGTCAAACGTACAGTGAATCCGTTTTGTCCTAATACCCCAACCACTATTCCACCATGAGACATCACTTATGAATTGCCCCCATCATATCAAACTCAGGTTAGTTAAAAGAACCACCATACAGTCCCTAACTATAAGTGTTCTGGATGCAGACAGTAATGCAACTTAATTTATTAGCTTCCTAGGATAGATAACGAATGAAAATCTCATACTGTAAGTATCTGAACCTGAACTTTGTTTTATAGTATGGTAAAATTGAATGGAAAAGATAAATTTCTAATTTGCCTAAAAGTTCTAGAATACATCATAGTATCGGTTCAATGAAAAGCCTAATTGTTCCCAAGTTTCACCACCACTTACATGAAACCCTTGTTCACCACCCTCACTGGCCATCAATTGTGCCCATTTAGGCCATACCCCTAATATGGTATGATTACACTAGCAGTGATATTTCAATGGATTCATTGAAAGAAGAAAGATACAAAATTACTACGGAAGCGTGCAAGGCCCCAGTAGTATTTCTACATTTGAATTATATTTAGATTTGATTTAAAGGAACAATGTATCAATTAAAAGCTAAAGAAAAATGAAATAATTAGAAAGCATTTAAAGTTCATGCATTGACCGTGAAAGAGTTAAAATCAGAATCAAGACAAATCAATAGGAAGCACAAAAATTAACGCAAATGTGATACATAGAGGAGAGCTAAGGTTAAGAAGAATCCAATATTAGAAGAAAATTAGAGAGTAAAGAAGTCAAAAAAGCGAACTCTTCGAGAGGAAAGAGATGGGATTAAGTATAAAGCAACAATCATAAATTGCACTAGGTGAAGAATCCTAATAGGAACTTACACAGAAATTAGAGCAAAACAAAAAAGTTTACTTCACCAATACAAAACAGCACAACCCGAATACATAAAAGATAAACACCTACCCAAAGGTAGGTGATCTTTCCCAACCCCTAAGCCAAGATTCAATACAACAATCACACATGCATTACATAACCCTAACTTATTAAACCATATTTAACACCCACAAAAATAACTAAGAGAATACTAAATTGCCCATTTAGTCTTGCGCCTAAAATAAATCTTTAAATTATTTAGTGGGCTTGGCATGGTGAAAAATGTCGTAGGTGCTGGTCTAACAATACTCCAACAACAACGCCTTAATCCCACAATGTGGGGTCGGCTACATGAATCATTTTTCTCCATTACATCCTATTTAGTGTCATATTTTCATTGTTGGTCTAACAGTACTCACCCAAGAAAACACATTGTCCTCAATGGATAAGATAGAGAACTCCAATTGAATCAAGTTGCATGGCTCCCACTCATAAACTGCCTTGAGTCTAGCTCTCATGTCTGCACTTGATACCAATTTGATTGAAACTTCTGAAAAAATTAGGACAAAAATTAGTTTGCTTCACCAACACAAAACAACGCAACCCAAATGCATAAAAGATAAACACTTACAATTCGAGAGATAGGTGATCTCTCTCAAACCCTACATGCATAATATAACCCAAACTTCATAAACCATATTTATATCCTATAATAACAACGAATAAAATACAAATTTGCCCTTTTAACTTTGCGCCTAAAGAAAGTCTTCAGATTATTTGGCGGGCTAGATGTGGCAAAAAACGTCGTAGGTGTTGGTCTAAAGTTACTCCCCTTCTAAAAAGGCATATTTTCCTCAAGTTGTAAGAGAGATCTCCTGTTGGATCAAGTCATATGAATATAAATTGACTTGAGTCTGACACTCGTGTCAGCACTTGATACCAATTTAATAGGAACTTCAGCAAAAGTTAGGACAAAACAAAATAGTTCACTTCACCAACACAAAACAAATACATAAAGGATAAACACCTACAATTTGGAAGGTAGATGATCTCTCCCAAACCCCGACCGTATGATTCAAAACAACAATCACATATGCATAAGATAATCATAACCTATTAAACCATATTTATACCGCCCACAATAACTAACAAAAGACTAAATTGCCCTTTTAGCCTTGCGCTTAAAATAAGTCCTCAAATTATTTGACGGGCTCGGCGTGTCAATAGGTGTTGGTCTGACAAATCCCCAGAGGGCAAACCATAGGAAACTTCAATTCTAATATCATACAATGATTTAGTAAATATAAAAATGGAGCCCCTTCTATAGACTTATGACTCACAATACTTTGACTAAAATATATGAAGATTGATATGGTAGCAAAATATCCTTATAGCATATAAGAAAGTGTAAAAATATGTTTAAAAACTGAATGGACATGCATGCCAACAATTATGTGCGACTCTAGGGATGCAATTGGAGCTAGTCAATTACACTGCAGAGGTAGCAGATCCAAATAGAAGAGGAAGAAAGAAGTAAATCCATTCCAAAGAATGGAGATGAAGGAAAATAACATCACTGATTCAACTATCACCATAGAAGCCTTTCATTCATCCTCAAGTACATGAACAATTATGAAAAAATTTCAATAAGCACTTCCAGATTTTCATGCACTCAACTAAACTCGCTCAAGCCTAACAAATTGAAGTTAACTCTGTTTTTTTCTTAAATAGGGTTCATGATAGGATTGGGATAATCAAGTTGATAGAGCCAAGAATTGAGATTGCAGATGGAAGCTAATGATGGTGCATGCAATTGCAAAATCAGCAGTTCATAAGATAATCACAAGCAATACAAGATAGAAGGGTTCTATCTTGTATTGGGTTCATAAGAACCCAATTGAACAAATTTGAATTTGACTGGGTTCAATTTTTAAGGCGTCCCATAAAAATCTACACTAGTGCGAGGTCATGCGAAAAGCAAGTAAAACGACTCTATAAGAAGCCAACTGCAGTCAAGTCAACATAATGGCACCAAAAACTGGAGGCAGTTAAGCAGATATGGCAAGGACCTTTTGCATGGTACAAGATGTTGCATGATGCATAGTAGCAGAATTGAGTAGCATAAATAAAAAAGTGGGTTGCATGCAGCCAGCAATTGGCTTCAATAAATGGATGAAGGGAAGGAGCATGAAAAATGATAAAAGTCTAAGATGATGAATGGTCAGAGGTATAACACTAATGCAAGACAAGCTAAGAGACCCATCACCAAATCAACGATAAATATGCAAGATAACTAATATTTTTAATTTCTTTTCTTTCATGTAGGAAAATAAAAAGTTGGCAAATATATTAATTGGAGGGAATATTTTAAATTAAAACTTATATTTGAATAATATAAATTAGCGAAAATAAAAGATTAAAGAGAAGTAATAAAAAATTAATTAAATTTTAAATTAGAGTGGCATTATTCTTTTCCAAATAAGGTGAGAGTGTATCAGTGAATCTATGGACTAATTTAAAAGGGAGGATTGCATATTTCTCGATTAGTTTTCCTCGTTTTCTATAGAACCTCATGTACTATTGATTCACCCATTATATTAACAAAAAAAAATTTTAATCTCTTACAAAAACTTGTATCCAAAAGGAATTGTTGCTGCAAATTATTTGAATCAATTTACAAATTAATCAAAATTAAATTTCGTAAACCCTAGCATAATATTTTCTATTAATTCTTATTCTCTAACATCCCCACCACCTTTCTAAAGCCTAAACATACTTCTACCCTAAAAAAAAAATAGCCATACCCCTTCCACAAAGCTCTAACTTCTGAAGCCCATCTATTATCCACATGAAAATCTCATAACCATTTTACCATACATCAATTGATCTAAAAGCCCTAATATGGAGACCATCCATTTTCCATCAAAGAAAACCTAGCCACCCTCTACAAGAAAATTTCAAGAAGAGATTTATCCAATAATGCTCCACTAGTCAACTTCCCACTGAAAAAATCAATATAAATTTCTTCCTTTATATTTTGATGAACATTTTATTAAGTATAAGATAGATCACTACCGGAGGGTGAATTTTGTTAAACTCAATAAATCTATTGAGATAATGTGTCAACCAAAAAAAAGAGAAGTGATAGAAGAGAACTTAGGCAAGAGAAAATGAAATAACCGCAGATAAATACACACTGCCCAAAACACAATGATAAGAAGCATCAAACCCAACTCCACACTCTAAGGCAAGGTAGCATGTTAGTAATTGGTCACTTCAACACTTTTAAAGTCTTCATTACTATAACCCATTGCTTGACAATAATTGGCAGTTTGCCAACAAGTTTGCCATTGAACTTATATCTGACATAAGAAAATAGTTAAGTAACACGATCCTCAGTCCTTAAAAGATGCCTTTCATGTTGCTATCTTAATGGAAAAACATTGGAGATGCTCAAAAACTTAAAACCCAAATTCATCTACCCCTTCTATTTCTAAACCTACTCCTAGTTCACCCATTAATAAATCCACTAAAACCACATTAGAGAATAATAATAATAATGCAAAAGATGATATTTCTCACAACTTTAACAAAAAGGGAGACATGAAACACCAATATAAAAACAACTAATGTACCAAGAAAAGGATGAATCTGATGACCTGAAATTGAAAATAAAAAATGAACACTTTTTAAGGAACAGAGAAAGAAATTTGTAAGTCATGAGGTGTTTAGCTATAGCCAAAATTAAATATAAGTATTAAAAGGAAGGAAAATACATTTACTATGATTGCCATGTGCAAGGAAAAAAAGTAGGTTAATTACAGATAAAAAGAGTGCCATGAACATAATTTTCTACCCACACCCTAAACAGAGCCAACTTGACAGCTAAACCGCATCCCAATCATTCTAATTTGGATGGGTTAATCATAACTCATTTCTCGAGAGTTCTAGATACATAATTTCATTGAAAGAAAGCAAAGAGTTATGAGAATAACATTTGATTTTATGTCTACTAAAATATAAAGAAAAATTTTTAATATGCAACTCAAACAAGTTTTCTACCTACTGCT